ATAATGTTAACATTTGCTGTATAACGATAAGTTCTCGTCATTTGAAAATCCTATTCAAGAATTTTTGATAATCAATTATTTCTTCATAGGATGGCTAATTTATGAAAAGAACAAAGACAACTTCCTGTTCCGCTTTAGGTTTATGTGTTTCTTCATTAACATTTAATACACTCTTCACGTTTGATAGTAAACCACTTAACTTCTTTTCTGCTTTTTGCTAAATTGTCTTTGTGAAATACGCGACTCTAATAAATGTAGTGCGTTGTCGCGAATGCAAATACTGTATCTGGTAATTATAACAGTAATATAAGCTTGCTGAAATTGAAATTTTAACATCAACAAGTGATCAAAACTTTCATATCCTTAGACTTTGAAATATTATTCATTACAACCAGTCATTGCATTATTGATCCGAAAGTTTAAGTTTATTCACTGGAGACTGTATTTATTAGGTTTTCCATTCCATAATTTCACGTGTGTTTAAATTGATTGTACAACAAGATTTTTGTTTAAATTAAAAGAATCCACGATTCCCTCCTTATTCATCATCTCTCATCTTTCGAGCTCAAAAACTTTGAATATGGAAAAGTGTGTATAAATTTTATCAAAAGATGCTTTTAATGTAATTGAACTATTGAATATCATCTAATGATTTTTTATCCAATACGCAAAGAACACCCGCATGGAACACACAACAATCAGGTAGCGAAAATTAAAAGAACTTCTTTAACTACTGATGGTTTAATATTTAATATTTATTCTGTGATCCGTTTAGAAAGCGCTTTTAGAGGAACTTTTAACTACACGAAAACGACTGCTTCGTCATTTTCAACTTTTGAAACAGTAGGTCCTTTCGAACAACCAAATATTAGAGTTGATATATCATCAAACTTTACGCCTGCTCCTTTAATTCCGCAATTTGGTTTTGGTTTCACATCTGCGTCTTCTGGATTAGAGACCGGACTTACGGATTTTTATCCTTCACTTTTAGAAACAACACAAGGGTACGTTTTAAAAAATCTTTATTAATTATTTAGAGTGCCAAATTCTTTTTTGTATTTAGGGTCTTCGTCAGAAATAAAAAAATTTTGTGTTTTTTATTTCAGAAAGATAAATACAAACTAATATTGGATCGATTGGTTCTCAAATGTAATAGTAGCACGCTTGTAAAACTAACTCAGGATTCACGTTAACGTGAACTAGAATTTTCAGAATTCATAATATTTTAAACACTTTATTCATTTAAAATAATTTAGGGGAAGGGGACTACTGACAGCTAATATCACAATGGAAACAAAATTTTCAGAACTTACTGAGCAAGATCAAAATCTAATTACTGAAATAGAGTATCCTTTATGATTAAGCATTCTATTAGATCGGAAAATAAGATTTATTTTATAATTTTATTCCTTAATATATTTCAGTCAATACATACAAAATCAGAAACTAATTATGTCAAGTCTTGAGTCTACCCACTTATCGAATTTGTATTATTATGTGAAAGAAGTTATTGATGAATCACGGGCATTATTTCAGGTTTGTATTAGTATTCATTACATAATTCAATATGTGACAATAATCGATTATCCGTGAACATAAATAAACCGTGTAGAAGATGAACGCCTTCGAGAATGAACTACAAATTTCTCATTATTTAATATACGAGAGATTGAAGGATCTAGAAGGTCAAATCACAATTGTAGATATTGGTAAACGATTTTATAAGGCTGCCTCCCAAGGACTAAACGATAATATTTTGCAACTCGGAGATAAAGAAATTTTAAAGTATGATAAGTTCAGCGTTATGACTTAAGGTTGTGTTGTTAAATAAATTAAAGGTGTTTGATTTAATGTTAATTTTTAGATATTATCATGACCTTTTAAATTCTTTCGATGAACGATTGAGGCAATATTCTATATCTATTGAGGTTAACTTTCTTTCCTTTTAAAATCCTTATGATGTAAAATTTTTAACTTATTTTATCAAACATTATTTCATAATATAGGAAATAGATCGGCACTTTTCTTCATTGTGTCAAGGCAGTGAAATCGGAAGTAAGTATTAGCATGGGAACTTTTCAGAGAGTTTTATCCCAATACCATTGTAAAAATAGGCTTCGAATATTAATATATTATATTTTTTTAAATGTCTGATGCATATAAAGGTCTTTTTGCACTTAATGAAACCTTGAATTGGCAACATCAATGTTTCATGGCTGTTACTGGAATGGTAGCAAAATTACATGAAGAAATGGATGAGCTTCGTGTAAATTTTGGAAAAGTTTTTTCTAACACACTTGAAGAACAAAAAGACCCAACTTTATTAATTTGCAAATTTACGCAAATAAGGTTCGAGGATGACATCATTTGAGGAAAGGATTGCAAAAAATCTTCATATAGCTAGATCACCGGCAATGTTAATTTGAGCTTTACTACATTTTGCTAATATATCACAAATTAATTTGATGATTATGTAACCGACAATTTATAATAAGGTTTTCAAAATTATGAGAAATATGCAATTCAGCTAATCGAATAACTTTTAATAAAAATTCTTTTTAAAGAATATTTCTATTTTTAAAAAAGTTGACGTTTTGCATTATACAGGATCATATAATAAATGCAAGTTAAATCTTTTATATCAATCTAATCCAATTGTTTAGAAATCAGGAAAACACAAAAAATGATTGCTCTCGTAATTAACCATCAAACAGACAATACAAATATTCGTGTTAATTCAGAGCTTCACCCAATTAATTCTATTTATATAGATAAACAATGCAATTCACTAGCATAAGAAGGCATTAGTTGAATACCACAATATTAGTTTTCGGAGATTAATTATATATGAATAACAACATTAAATAATTAGCCGAATTATAAAAAAACTTTTACATCATTATTTATAGAGAGCAAATGATAAAAAAATAATGACTTGGATCTGAACATAGTTTATTATTGACTGCTACATATCGTTATTCTTCCAAAATTATGTCTTCATGCATAAGAAACTTTAGGTAGACTAAATTTTTTTTTTTAAAAAAATGTGGTTATTTAATTGACTATTCAGCGCTTCTTTATTTTTTTTAGTCATTTTGAAATATGATAAAAATACTATAAAAGTAAATACATTTTTGATAAGAAAGTCGCAATATTGGAATTCATTTTTTACATAGAACATCCATAAATTAAAAATAAATAATATTTTTGTTAAAAGCTTTTTTTTGGCCAAATAGTGACATAAAAAATGATTTATCATTTAATTGATATCAATTCGGACAAAAATAAAAAAATTACCACTCGATAAACTTTAACAATTTTTGTAATAGCTTCATTCTAATAATTTTCTTATCGTATTATTTTTTTAAATATAGGTTGAATGGTATGGTCGAGTTTTTTTCGATTATATAGTTTTTCGCTTAAATCTCAAATACCTCAAATCAAAGAGACAGTTATACACGAGGCCTGCATAAGTCCAAATTTTGAAGCTCGGCCCTATCATAATTTCATAAAATACAGACAAATCTTCACTTTTTCATACTCCTTTATTAATTTTAAAATGTAAAATTAACATCATCAAATTATTAAAAAAATTTTTAATGTTACATGATTTACAAAGTTCTTTTTTTTTTCTTTTTACCAAAAATTTTATTATTTTACAAAAATTAAAAAAGATCATAATGTAAGATGACAATAATTCAAATGAGTGGATTAATTGGATGGAGAAATATTATTTTAAGTAAAAATATCAAAAGCTACGAATTCGATCATTTCAACAATGTTAAAGAGCTCGGTAGTGGCAGCTTTTGAAAAGTCTATCGTGCAAATTGGAAAGTTCAAAACAACCTCTCGCGTTAAAATCCTTTCATAATCTTAACAACGTCACTGTTAAAGAAATAGTTTGTGAGGTAATTACAAATTATAAAATGTATTTCGGTCTTTTTCAGTCTTTTATATATCAAAATAAAATTTATTATTAGCTCAAACTTCAAAGTGAAGTCGATTTTCATGATAAAATTATTCGCTTTTGTGGGATAACTTCAGAACAAAGTATATAATGTTCATCATAAATTTTATTAAAGATATACAGTACAGTCGCCATTGGATATAATTAATGAATCCTCCGTTTCATAGGATTTGATTCGATATAGGATGAGTTCGTTATATAATACTCACTCTATATACTGAACTGTTCAGTATATAGAGTCTATCATTAGAATATGGGGGCTAAGCTATTAAAATCACCTTACGGGACCCATCCGAAAAAATATTAACTTGTGGTTAGATAAAATTTCAAGTTTTTTATATTGAGCCAAAAAGCGTCGGAGACTTTTGGCGGGGCCTGTATATCTAAATATGAAAAAATCGTTAGCTTGTAGTAATCAAAACTTACTTCCTAATTTTTATCTCTAAACGACTCGATCTAAATCAACGGGAACTGAAAAGCGACAATAAGAAGAAGCAGGAATCAGAAAAAAAGTAAAATCTCTCACCGGTGCTAAAAGTATGAATTTTTTCAACCCAGTAGTATGCATTCTTTTTTATTTCAACCATTAAAGTTATATTTTCGTTATCTCTAAGCAGAAACAGGATTATTAAGTTAATTTCAATAATATCGATTGTTGCAAAGAATTAGGAATATTATTATTCCTTTAAATAGTAACTTAGAAAGATCTTTCTCTATCTCGAACAAATAATAAAGTGAGATAGGTGTTCCAAAAACGATAACTGCAGACATTTTATGTATACTGTTGTTCTTGAAAACTTATTGTGATTAAAATTTTAGTTGAAATTTTTTATTTTTAAAATATTTTCAGGGTTCGACGGTTTTTTGCCAATTTCAACGATTTTGTGTGATTCACAATTTAATTATCAATATTTAACGAAATTTAACGGGTTGGAGGATTTCCAAAGATGTATTAAAATGTACCCGAAGGAAATTTAATCCTCATTATAATATCAAAGATTTGATTATACTGATTTACCCATCGAAAATGTTTACCAACCTCACGGTTTTGCCTTTAAAAAAAATTTGACAAACAATGTTGATCATTTCCAATCACGTGTGATTTTTTATGAAAACTCAATTTTTAAAATAAATGGGACGATCTTGTGTACTATTGAGATATAGTAAACGTGATTTTATCACTAAAATTAGAAAATTTGCAATTAAATTTTTATATAATAGCTGTTACTATTTTAATTTAGCTGCGTCACAAAAAATTTAGACAAATACCAGACAGATATTCTGATTCTTTACGACCCTTTGAACTTTTGAAAAATAATTTGGTTATTAGGCAGGTAATTCAGATGTTACAAGTATGTTGAAGTTTCTTATAAAATGCAAATAAACAAATAGTATTACTATAGTCTATATATATATATATATTTTTTTTAAAAATAATTATGCTTACTAAAATACAACGTTATTTTATAATTCTTTAAAATGGGATAGAAAGAGTTTTGAATTTTTTGTAAAAGCATTTATTGATAAGAAATGTAAATTAAATTTTGTGGCGGATTTTAATTGTAATAATAAAATATTAATTTCTCAATATATATATATGCTAAACGAACGATTTTGTATTCATTTTAAAGATGAAAACAAGCCCTAATATTGAAACCAAAGATCATTCGAATTGAATAACTACATCTGGAGTTATTAACAATCATATCCAAGAATTTATTCTAAAATGGTTTGGACTTATTTATTAAGGATCTAATGATCAAAAATATGATGTTTATTTAAATAGATAGATATTTTTCTCCCTTTTCAAATGAATATAAATTCATGTTTCTAGTTCACATACAAGTCGTGTTATTTATGATCTTGCAACATGAAATATATTTGATTTTTATTTTATAAAGTACAAATTAATGTTCATTAATTTATCTCTGGTTTCAATAAATTTAATCATAGATATATTTGAATGATATTTATTAGCTTGCAAAGTTTGTATTATAATTATTATGTAAGTTTTTAAATCCGCCAGTCATTTAGATTAAAAAAAATAATAAAATCGCGATAAAATAAAAGTTACTACATTTAAAAGTTTGCTAATTGTAGTTCAATTTGAATAAAAATAAATTTGATAGATTTCAAAGTAAAATAAATATGTTGACAAATTTGGGAATGTATTAATATGTAGAATGTTTTATAATATCTCACAACGGCAATATTTATTATGTGATAAAATCGAAAGATGATCGGCAAATTTTATGTGAAGAAAAAATGACATGAAAAATCAAATTCTCAACTTCTCGGTCGTAGTTGTTCCATAAGAACCTTATAATTTCTACGGCGTTGCCTAACTTCTTGCTGTAGGATTTGAAAAGTTTTGTAAACATTCAACTTCCGACGAATATAATTATATCGGAAAATAATAGTACAAAGAGCAGTTAATTTTAATTTAACTTGACAAAGTATTTTGCTATCTGTCCCAATGCAACCGATTACTTTCGTCGTTGTAGCCGTTAAAAATGGTGTTCTGTATGATATATTTGCTGGGATGATGAGATTTTGCGGAGAAATTAGTTTGACGCGAGAAATGCGAACAAAAAATTTTAGAAGTATCTCGGCAGAATATTTAGAATCAAAAAATAAATTTTATTTAGTGTAACGTTGATTGAATAGCTAAATTAAAAAACTTATCGCAGTAAGCCAAAAGAGAAAAATGAATTAGAATTAAATGATTAAAAATCAAAAGACTAAAAATAATGCATATACGAAAAATTTTGAACATTCGGGGAAAAAACTATGCGATTGTTAAAAATTCTTTTAACGTTAGTATATATATTATTTTCATTTTTAAAGTTCTTTGATTTGAACTCTATTTACTTTTTTGTTTTGTTTTTTAAAAAAAAAATTTCTTTTCTTTACTTCATTTTCATATAAATTTGTAAGACTTTTTTGTGCATTGATATTTCCTTCTTCGGCGGCTACTTTAAATAAATCTAATGCCTTTTTTTTATCAATATCAACTACTATTCCATTCTCATAATAATATCCAACTTTGTATTGAGCCTCTAAATATCCTTTATTAGCTGAATTTTTGTAAAATTCAAATGCTCTGATTTCGTTTCGATCAACTCCCTGTCCTAATTCATATAACTCCCCTAATTTATACAATGCAACTTTATTGTCATTCTCTGCTGCTTTATGATACCAATAATTGACTTTGTCAATATTATTCATTAATTCATCATCATCTTCATACATTACATCATCATCATTTCTTCCAGCTGCTTCATTATATAATTTAAATCATTTTACTCTACTAATAATTGTTCCAATTCCATTAATATAACAATACCCGAGTTGAAATATTGCACTTAAATACCCTTGTTTAGCGGCCTTTTGATAATATTCGAATGCCTTAAATTCATCTTTTTCAACACCATTTCCTAATTCATAACATTCACCCAATTTGTACTGTCCAACCACATATCCTTTTTCGGCTGCACTTTGATACCAGTAAATGGCCTTGTTTATATCCTTTTCTATACCATCGCCATTTTCGTATAATCGACCAAGATTGCATTGTGCAGCTGCATATCCGTTTTCTGCTGCTTTTTGGTACCAAAAAAAGGCTTTTTCTAAATTACCTGTTGTTATTTCATATAATAATGCAAGGTTATATAATAATATCTGAAAATTATCTAGCAAAAATGGTGTAAATAAATGACCTAATTTGGATAATAATTTAAGACAATAAAAGGCTTTTATAATTTTCGTATTTTCTTCATATTTATATACTAATGCAAGTTTAACCTGTGTAGCCATATCTCTATTTCCTGCCGCCCTTTGACACCAATAAATGGCATCTTTTAAAGTATTATTTCCTGTTTTTATGGCTTTATTATATAAAAATTCACTATTAAATAAATTTGGTATAGTATTTCTAAATTCTGCTATAACTTGAAAGAAATAATAGGTTAATAATAAATTCGTTTCCATTCTTTCCATTCTTTCATACAATGATGCTAGATTATATTGCGCTTCAACAGATCCATTTACTGCTGCTTGTCGATACCAATAAAAAGCTTTTACTAAATCCTTCTCCACACCCTCTCCTCTTTCATATAAACAGCCAAGGCTACATTGAACCGAAACACATCCATAATCTGCTGCTTTATTATACCAATAAATCGATTTGTATAGATTTACTTTTCTTCTTTATATAAAATCGCAAGATTATGTTGTGCGCCGTCATACCCACTTCTTGCAGCTTTTGTGTACCAGTAAATGGCCTTTTCTAAATCTTTTTCTGTACCTTCGCCATTTTCATATAAATTTCCAAGATTGTTTTGAGTTCTTCTTCGGCCACTTTTAGATACCAATCAAAGGCGTTTTCCTTATTAAATTCAATTCCAAATCCTTTATCATAACAATATCCAAGCTGAAATTGCGCATAATAATATCCTTGTTCAGCTGACTTTTTGTAAAATTCAAAAGCTTTAATTTCATTTTTATGTTCGCTATATTGGTAATAATAACCTAACTTATATTGCGCAATTTTATTTCCACCTTTTGCAGCTTTTTGTAAATTGTTTAATGCTTTTACATAATTTTGTATTTTTCCATGATAATTATTTATTTCAATTTCCCTTAATGCTTTATAGTATACATTTTTATAAAGATTAGCAGCTTTATCCTTACTTTTTTTAAGTATTGATTTTCTGTTGAAATAATTTTTAAGAGTATGCTTTGCTATAATATGTCCATTACCTGCTGCTTTTTCATACCAACAAGAAGCTTGTATTTTATCTAATTTTGTTCCAATACCATTATAAAAGCAATTTCCAAGTTGATATTGAGCATCAGAGATTTCTTTTTTGGCCAGGATTTCATAATATTCAAAAGCTTTAAATTCATCTTTTTTAATTCCTTTTCCTAATCTATAACAATTTGCAAGATGAAGTTTTGCAATAAGATTTCCATTATTAGATGCTTTGCGATACCAATATACGGACTCCATTTTATTTGGTTGAGTTCCTATACCAAATTCATGGCAATGTCCAAAATAAAATTGTCCAATAATGCTTCCATTTTCCACAGATTTCTGATACCAATTAAATGATGACAGTTTATTACATTCAATTCCATATCCATGATAAAAACATTTAGCGAGATAAACTTGTGAGATTGAGTAATTATTCTTTGCTGCATTTAAAAATAATTCAAATGCTTTAGCACTATTTTCCTCTATACCAATATTATGATAATATAATAATCCAAGTAACCATATAAATTGTTGTGAATTTTGATTTCTTTTAAGCCAAATTACAAGTTTGTTCATAGTTTGGTTGAACTCTAATATTTTTTGTTCAACAAGATTTTTAATTTGCTCGAAAGTAATACCTTTATCGTGTTTATTTATTACATATTTAATTAACTTATTAATAGATTCATCATTTATAAATATCGCCTCGAAAGAATCTTTTGATAAATTATTAGCTCGGAAATTTACATTTGAAGAGGTATGTTCAGAATCTAGCGCATTTGATTGAAAAGATTTTTGACGACGACGTAAACCTAAAATGCTTTCAGATTTAATGATGTTCATTGAATTAATTTTTGAATTGATCACTAAATCCTTATTTGTACCAAAAGTATCTTCGCTTGACTTAACACTGGATTCCTCTCGTATTAATAAATTAATTTCTTCTTTATCGGCAACTAATTGTTCAAGAGGAATGATTGTTTTTATGTTCGAAACGACTCCATGGCTTTCAGATTCAATGACAATATTTGGATCGATCAATAAATCCCCAAAAGTATCTTCGCTTGACTTAACACTGGATTCCTCTTCAATTAATAAAATATTTTCTTCTTTATCGGCAACAGATTGTTCAAGAAGCATGATTGCTTTAATTTTCGATACGACTTCATGCATGTTTAGACGCATATCTGGTTCATATTTCCAACATTCTGGTTTGTTAAATAAAAGTTAGGATTAATTTTATAATAAACAAATATGTTAATCTAATTTACCTTGATATATATTGATATATTCAATAGGAGTTCCGACGATAATTTCTTCTCTTTTTCCTCTTACTATATCTAAGACTAAATGTAGATCATAATCAACGTCATGAAATGGCCGACGTCCACTTGAAATTTGCCACATCAATACTCCAACACTATAAACATCAGACATTTTATTTAATTTGTATTTTCGATTTTTTAAACCTTTAGGATCTATATAAGGTATTACACCATATAGTTTTGATGTATTGCTTGAATATTCGGAAATCTTTTTTGATAAGCCAAAATCTGCTAATTTAATAGTTTTTTGATTTACAAGTATATTTTTTGCATGCTGTAAAAAAAATTTCAATTATTAAGAAAATATAATAAATAAAATAAAAAACTAAATCAATTATTACCAAATCACGATGAACAATGTTAAGATCATGCATATATTCTACAGCACTAGCCAGTTGGTAAGCTAGCTGATATTTTTCATCCCAACCAAGATTAGAAAAATTCTTGTTTAAATATTCATTTAGCGTGCCACTGTCAGCATATTCCAAAACTAAATGATATTTATTTGCACCTGTTGTATAAAAAAAAAAAAATTAATGAATTATTGAAGATTTTCATTAAAATTTTCAAATAATTACCAGTTTTTTCCTTTGCTATGCCATAAAATCGTATAACATTTTTATTCGCGTTAACCTTAATTTGTAATTTTATCTGCAAAAATCAAACATAATTGAATGTTAGATTTTATTGATAAATATTTTCAACAATTACAATAATTTTACCTCATTTATAACTTTTTTTATAGATATATTATCTTCTTTAAAGGATTTCAAAGCGAACAAACTATCGGAATCTTTCCAATTTGCAAGATTGACACTTCCAGATGCTCCATCTCCTATCAATTTTAAAACTCTGAAGTCCGAATATTCGTAATGATTCAAATAGTTTTTTGAATTTTCTAACCACACAATCGATTCTTCAATATCTGACATGATTTTTTTTTAAAAAAAAAAAGTTGGAATAAAATTGTCATGAGATATAGGCAACAACGTTCCCATATTTGCCACAGATCGTCAAAACCTCTTTTTGGAGAAACGGAGTTTACTCGGACTTTTATTTAAAATTGCACCTGATCGACAAAATTTTGGGGGTAGGTGGAAAACCGGTACGGTCCTATAATAGGTCTTAGTTATTATAGGACCAGTACGGTTCGATCCAAATTTCGCGAAAAAATACTGATCTGCATAATCGTACCATACTGGTCTGGCGAATCGTACCGTACCGGTTTTCTATCTACCCGTCATTTCCCGATTACTAACGCCCGTGATCACATGAATTATGTGTCACATGTTATTGTTTGACATAAAAATACTTTTTTTTACATCATAAATGATAAAGAGTAAAAGTATTCTATTTTTAAGAGATATATATTAAACGAATTTATTAATTAATTTTTACACCTATGAAAATGAGTGTGATCAGGAATATGTTCAATTTAGTAAATAAGTTATTTTTATTTGTGAGAAAATTTATTTATGTAGTTTAAAATTTAGTTAGTAATTAATTTTCTCAACAGCCGTCGTCATTTGCCTAACCTGTGATCATTCACGATTCATGGTTTTTGATCACAAAAAATTCATAATCTATCAAATTTGCGATCAAAGATTGGTCAATGTAAATTAATATGAAAGACAGAGATTCAATTTATTAATCAAAAAATCAATTCGTCCTTATTTAGAGTCCTTTCGAAATTTAATTAAATAATTTTAAATGAGATTTGCAAAAGAATTATTTAATCGAAAGATAGAATTTTTTTATATTTTCATTTTCGAATTTGTGTGATCAAGAGATTTTATTTGTTACCAACATTACCGAAAACAAAACATTTTCTATTTGTAATTTGATCATCCAAATGCATATAATTTAATAAGGTCTCCGCTTACGATTTTTGGATGGCAGAAAACCTAATAGCTACCTGTAATTTCCTTTCAGACGTTTGTTATACATGTCAAAATGTTTACATTCATTTAGATTTTTATTGTAAATGTAAAAACTAAAATCTGAGCAACAAACAATAAAGTTCAACGTCTGAGAATTAAAGATAAAGGAAACTTTTAGTAGGTGAAGATAATGATCAATAGGATAAATCAAATTTTACATTAAATAATTAAAAGAAAATATATTTTCTGAAGAAGGAAAGGACAGAAACTTTACAAGAGGTACAGCGTCAAACCAGATGTTAGAACTGGATTTATTTTATTACAAAAATCAGATCTGAATTTAATCCAATAAGCTAAACTGCTAGTCAAGATATATTTGTATCATCATCTTATTTCACTTTTTTCATTCAAATAATTCATTAGTATAATATTTGCTATTCGTATTCAAATATAAGTTAGAAAGAAGTGTTTATAAATTTACCAAAAAAAAAAGTATTTTTTATTATTATATCATAGCAAATAAATTAAAGAAATAATAACTAATTAAATTGGGACCGAAAAAATCAAAATAAAAAAAAAATATCCCCAATCGTTGCCGCAATAAAAACTAAGTTAATTTTGTATTCTCTCAACAAAGAAAGAAGAATTAAATATTTTCTTGATAATTTAATTTAACTTATCCAGCAAATAATATATCTTCAAATCAACAATGGTAGCAGATTAATGCTTTAAATATTATTAGTTTAAAAATTTATTTATTTAATGGTTCCTTTTTAAGGTCATTGCTTACTGCTTAAATGGCAATCAAAATGTGAGACGCAGCTAATATATGAACCATTTAAAAGGCATTTTTTTTATTGTAGGAATTAATTATATCTTTAACGAACTTATGTTTGAAAAATTGACAAAAAGGATATGCCGGTATTTATGATTTAGAATGCTTGGAATTTGGCGTAACTTCTACATTTTATTTGATATCCTGTTTTACTAATTACCAGTAGCTTGCAACTCCAAGAATTAAAAAATACTATAGTTTGCGATTCGATCCAAACATTTTACCAAATTGAAAACTATTGCTTTTTAGTCACTATTCTCTCCAAACTAGACGATGATAAACTAACCACATATTAAAACTAAAATAAAGGTTATTATTCGTAGATTGAGCTATATCATTTCTTAATATTTGGACTCTTCTGTTTTATATTTTTGGACATTACAATGCTAGTTAAAGATGCCTTTTTAAAGATTTAGCTAATATACTATTTAAAATAAACATTTTTTTTTTAAAAACTTAGAAACATTTTATTAAATAATTCTAAACGAACTTGTTTCTAGAATTCATATTTTACCTGAACATAGTTAGCCTTTTTCTGAAAAAAGATAGATATTTTTCAGTATTCTGAATTTTGGAATTCTAACTTCAATCTTTCACTTCAAAAAGATATGACCACTTCGGAAGAATAGGAAAGTTCCCGATGGTAAGGCTCTTACTTTTCAATCTACCTCAATTTGAATAATTGATTTGACTGAAATTAATCCATTCATTATTTTTTGAAAATTTTATGCTGCGCCACAAAGCGCGATAAAAATGTTTTATTTTAGTTTAATAATGAAATGCAATATCTGTTAAGTAATAAAGTCGCGAATATTTTTGGTTCATTCAAGAAACTCGAGTTTTGTCCGAAAAAAGGTACACTCAAAAATTGTGATAAAAAATAATATTAAGGTTTTTTTTTTTTTTTAATGATAATCGGAATCATTACAGATTTGTCACCTCTTTTAGACTATATTTATGTAACTCGCAAATTTTAAAACGCGTGGGTATCGTTATTTAAAATGATTACCCTATCACTACTACCATAATTGAGATAACACATTCCTTTATACGTTGATATTTCAAGAAATAACCAATAGTTTCATGAATTCTCAAGTGATTATTAGTCAAAGCGAAAGGGAATGGTACCGATAATCTTTTACTTACTACTAACATGTTTTGAAAGAGGCCATAAAATATATTAAAATTTTTTTTTTTCGCTGGGAACAATATAAATACATATTTTTAAATAAGGAAAATTTAAATTATACTTATCCGAAACTAATGTATATTCTTTTAGTGATCCCTCTGTCAATCAAAGCGGTTTCTATACACATTTTCTTTGTTATTAATTAAATTTATTGCAAATAAAGATTCTCGGGAAATTTTCTCTTCGTATTTATTTTTTTTGTCTAGTAGAAGATGTTGAACAAATAAATGTGTATTACATCTAAACTAAATTACTTTGGAAGAAACTCTAATTGTAAAGGTATAAACTGATGTAACAGTTGAGCAGTGCATGCAGTTAATCCTAACTATAATAGGTTTTCTAGAATTATAAATTCAGAAATTCATGTAACATTAAATAAAGATATTACTAAAGATTTTTTTTGACTACTATAGTCTATTATTAATGCTCGAAGAAATAATGATTTTTCAAATATTCAAAATAATATGGAAGCTTAACAAATAACTCTATACATATCAAGTAAGATCCAAATAAATCTTCTTGGAAATAGCGAGTACTTCAAAAGTATGCATCGAGGATAAATATATGGGAGGTTTGCTATTAAAATAGAATTACGAACATAGTAAATCATATGATCCGTAACGTGATTTTAATAGAAAATCTCCCATTTACTATGGAATGGTTTCGGAAACCATTGTTAAGTCCGGTAACAACCACGTATTGACTCAAATTTTGAACGGGCGGACAGCGCGACATCTATATCACCTTGAATAGACATATATAGTCCTTCGATTCGCTCCGGACTAATGAATTATTTGAAATTGTACTTGAATGTTTGATGGGTTCATCTAAAAAAAAAAAAAATAAATAAAGTTTAACAGTTAGGACTTTTTAAAACGAACTTTATTAAAAATTTCAAGCTTAATAAAATATGCAAGACGAAGAATCGTTATATAGGCTCAAAACCTTTTTTCTATAACACATGATATAATAACGTAGCTCAAAATAGTTGTGTCTTATATAGTTAAAGACCATAAAAGGAATAAAAAAGCAGTAACCTGTATTTGATAAAAATAATTTATATATATCGCCGCTTAAATTTTATAAATTGCGCTAATTTAATAAATTTATCGGTTGATTTTTAACGGGAATAATGTCATAAAGAAAATTTGCGGTGCATCATATGTTATCAATATTAAAATTAACGAAGCGAAGAAAATTTCGTATTTGTTGTTTTTAAATTTTTTATTGCTTAGGCACGAGATACAAAACATGAATTATTCATTCGAAATGTTTTAATTCAACACTTAGTGCTACCTGCTCGTTTAGATCTCTCAAACCTATATGGAATAATTCCTGAGGAATCGTAAATCTTTAAAAATGATTCTAAAATAATAAATAAAAGTTCAAATGAAAAACCATAATATAAACCATTTCAGCTAATAATTAAATAGTCACTTTACCTGAAAA